CCAGCCGGCGAGGAAAGAGGAAGAGCGTGCTGCACGAGGCTGGGACCGGGCAGGAACGATAGAGCTGTTCTGGCTGGTCTGGCCCATGGCGATTCCCGGGAGCATTCCACCAGCGAAGTTCGGGTCAGGACTGGCGGAAGCGGCGAGCCCTGGCCATACCGGCCTGGGCCATGACGATCCCGTAGTGGTTCCGCAGCGAAACTGACTGAGATAGCCCGGAACAGCTAGCCTACGCCGTACTGGCGTGGGAAGGACGATCCGCAGGCCTGGACACGGGCTCCGACTGTGAGTTCTGACCGACGGGCGACAACTAGGGTCGGCGGGTCCGGACTGCCGGCTCTCGAAGACGGGCAACCGGAATGTACAATAAACCTATTCGCTGCCTTCTCGTTTTATTGTGTCACTTCCTGGGAGACGAGCGAAGCACAGACCGATCGGGCGGCCACAAGTAGTGAAGACAACTCAAACTGGTGTCCAGATGACGACTCTAGAATATTCTCTAAACACTTGGACCTATCAGGGCTCCCGATGGTCTTAAAAAACCGCACGAAAAAACCAGGGACGCACGCAGGTGCACACGGGGACTGCTGAAATCGGGGTCGCCGTCGCTCGCAACGGCCCGGCGGGCAGATAGGCCGCCCCAGTAACAGAGGCGCCGCCGCTTGTGGCGCTGAATGCAGTACTATCGTGGCGCCGCCTGGCCATTGCCGGCTGCCTATAGGAGCTAAGCCTTTTTCTTTCTTTACTTTTTCCTCAGACAAGTTCGCTCTTTGCAAATATTACAAAAAAAAAATGCACCATCTGTGGGCAACGCTGCACAAAGTCGTAGCGCGATAGGTCAAGAAACCTAATTTTGCGGTCGATTTAAAGAGCCTGCTGTCTCCTTGTTTCACCCTGTATATAGGGAGCATTCACTGGCGGTCATAGCTATGTGCGCAACTGCTGAGTTCGTGCTGGCAGGCGAACTTCCACAGTTATTTGCAGCGTGCATACCGCACCATCTGGATTGACGGTCTTAGCATCCTTTTAATGTGAGCGCGTTCTGAGCATGCGCTCCAAACATCGCCCTCAAATATGACGTCCAGTGAATACCCCCTATAACAAGGAGATTAGTCATAGACGCTAGAAAAGAATATTAGTTCGATCATCTTGGTTTTTAGGACTTGTCAGGTCTCCTTCAGGTGGCACACGTCGGCTTATTAAAACAACTTCCGTATATCATCACAGAAGTTTGGAGAGCACTACACACGACTCAGTTCCAAAAGCCATCTGCTCGTGCCTGCCCCAGACTAAAGCCCCTTCATGTTTCAAAAGTAGCGGAAGGTGCGTCGATGCACGAGGCACGGGCAACGTGCAGCCCTTGTGAAGGTCTTGTCGGCACAGCGCAGCTCTGAGCTAGATTTCAGACGCCATGAATTTCCCAGAAGTGGCGCGCGGCACGTGCCTCGAGCATTTCTGCAACAGTGAATGGCGCCACTTTTCCCAGGGTAGAGCTTTACTCCAGACTGCTCAGGGCTTATAGGTACCAAGTTTTTCGGGTCTATATCTCTTAAAATTCTGGGGGGTATTTTGTTTGAGTGCGTGTGTGCGGGGGGGGGGGGGGGGGGGGGGGGTTGTTCTCTTGCGGATTTGGTGTTTTTAGATATTGATATTGGGTGTCGGAAAAAAACCTAAGTTTCATCGGGACAGGCACGGAATCTCCCACCTTCAGGAATGTACACGAGATCCGAATGCTGAAAAAACTTTCCCGTACCGAAAAAAAAAAAAAAGATTTTTGTTTGGAAGAAACAAGCAGCTTCGCAGACACTTTAGCGAAGGCTCTATTCCGGGGCAACACACTCTAAAGCGGTAGATGAAGGGTTTCCTCCCTCGAAGCGTGGGTATTTCTTATTGAGGGACGGCGAACCATTTCGGGGTTTTGTCGGTTTTCCCAGATGTTGATAAAAACACATCGGAGGTTTATTTTCGGGGTTTAATGGTATTTATCAAAAACGCTGAACCCTATTTATGAGGCGCAATGTAGGGTTACATTTCTGCACGATCTTAACCCTATGTGGTGCGCGCACGTTATTTAAGGGGTGAAGAAACTTAAAGGAGCTGCGCAGCGATATTCAACTGGAATGTTTTTCTCTCTACACGAGCTTGCTGGCACACCTGGGACTCAAGGATACTCACACGCAAGGCCATCGGCCAAGAAACTCCTTTGTTGCGGTGTAATTTCAAGGACAAAAGCGATCATTTTCATTCAATCTCTCCTTTGCAAAATTTGATGACGTAACTGGGGGATCGCAGTACACCCAAGTGACGGTATTTGAATGCGGTTCATAGATTGGACCCGAGCATTGCGTAAGCACTCGACTTGGGCTCGTAATATTTACTAGCTCGAGAAGCATTCGGGTTGTGACCCGTGTCCAATCGCTGCAACGACAACAGCCGAGCCATAACAATGTCTGGAACTCAGCGCGTGTCCTGCGCTTTGCCAACCCCAGCGCGTGGCTATGATCAACACTGGCGGCATATAATCGGCTCCTGATCACGTGGCCGCTTGTTCTGGCTGCGAGTTGAGGGGGTGAACGCTGCTCGTTTTTCTTAATTTTTTTTCTGGGACTTCTATTGCGTGGGGTGAAAACCGAACGCGTGTTTCATAGGTCATTAACGTTAGGGATCCGTTTTAAGCGGTATTTGTGCACAGTATAAAAATTGTTGCATCGCTCCTTTAAGGTGATTTTTTTTTTGTCACAAGTACACTGCGTACCCCTTGCCGGCTTCTGATGGAATTGAGGGCGTTAAGCTGTGACGACCCTAACCATAAGCATTTCTATTTTCAGTTCTGAAAAGGCCAGAGCGAAACTGCATCTCTGTGGCAACATTAGCTGGATAATGTAAGAACTTTTATGTATTATGCGTCTTGATTGCCTTTTTTTTTAGCATAGTGGGATCTGAAAGAGACCCTGAAATTCTACTCAGTGCGCAATCTTGAAAAAAAAAATGAATCGGATGTTTTGTAGAACGAATTATTATGAGATGTTAATTTTTAGCGCCCGTGATTGATCTGGCTGACTTATTTAAAATTAAAAAAAATCTTCTGGACTCAGAACAATTGTAAAGAATAGAAACATTTAAAGAAAACAAATTATTGCTTCAAGATCGCGCGGCAAATGTAGGGCGACCGAGTGCAACTTAACATTCAGATATTTATTTATCTGTAAATCGTCGATTGCCTTTATTTAAACATATAAGTTTTGAATGACGCATTTCGATTAGAGACCGTGCTTTCTGTTAGCAGACGGAACGCTAGGCAGCAAAATCGCGCTCTCAATTTAATACCATTCAAAAAAGGTAAGCTCATTTTTTAATGCGTTAGCATTAGAACGCTCGTCTTCCCGCAAACCCGCCGGTGTCAGTCTGTGCGTCCGTTTGTCAGCGCCATGCGTGACGTCGCGAGGAGAATGGGGTGGTGAGGAGGCATCGTGTTTACAGATTCAGTGTCTCGCTACGGCGGCGGTGAGAAACGGAGAGGGTAAAACGTGCTGACGTCAGCGCTTCGGACCAATACGAGCGTCGCAGAGCTGGCGCGGAGCCAGAGACGAGCCGGCGCCGCGCCGCTTTGGAGTGCGGCTCAGCTCAGTTGTCGCTACGGCGATGGATGTGGTTCTTTCCTCGAGTGATAAAGGGGGTAAAAAAACGATTGAAACCGGGTCACAGACGATTTTAAACGGGTCATAAACGAATGAAAACGGTATAAATGCCAGGAAAGCGGTGATAAACAAATGGCAACGAATCCTAAAGGAATAGAAAGGTATGAAAAGGGGGTGAGAAAGTACCAGTGCTAACGCATTTCCATCGGATGAATCCCATTGTTTTAGTAATTTGGATACACCTCTGTACAAAAGCTTAGCGCGATGAGTTAAGGAACCGATTTATACGGTCCCTTCAAATGGTGAACGATCCATTTGACTCGCCCTGTAGATTGGAACCTCGAATAAGAACCCCTCAACACCCTAGTAGTTTTGGTGACAGTTATTCAATCTTAGGGAAAAAAGGAAGAGAACATTAGGACAGACTCCAACTATGCTGTTTTCTAATTAAGCGAGTAGCTGTAGGCATAGTTGAAAGAGTCGCGGCAGGTCACGTGTCAACTTCCCCGCTAAGTTTAGCGTGTAAATTAAATTTGTGTGGGTCACGTGACATCAAGCCGCGTGACGTCATTTTCCTCGCTAAATTAGGCGGGGAAACTGAATTGGTGTTGAGGTCACGTGACATTAAGTCATGTGACATCATTTTGCCCACAAAATTTGATGGGGAAAACTGAACGGTGTTGACGTCATGTGACGTCACTTTCCGCGCTAAATTTAACGTGTAAACTGAATTATTTTAGGTCACATGACAAATGTTTATAAATTTGTCTTTAGGTCATGGGACATAAAGTAATGTGACGTCATTTTCCCCACTTAATTTAGAGGGGAATCTAGTTTGGTGCTGAGGTCATGTCACGTCAATTTTCCCGCTAAATCTAGTGGGCAAACAGAATTTTTGTATGGGTCGTGTCAGTTTACATCGATTGTCCACTCAATTTAGCGGGGAAACTGGATTGGTCTTGAGGTCATGTGATACCACGTTTCCCGCTAAATCTAACAAGGAAAATGCAGTTTTGTATGGGTGACGTGACATAAAGTCATAAGGTCATTTTCCCCGCTAAATTTAGTGGGGAAAGTAAACGGCCAGCAAAATACCTCAAAGTGGCTTGAAAATGGTAAAAAAAAAAAAATCAGTTTAAAAAAAAGGAAAGAAATGTATACCGTGTGGCACTGATAATTGTGAAACGTTATGACCAGTGCCACAGTATAGACAGTTTTGTTTTAATATAACCAGCTTCCTCTATAAATTGCGACGATTGGTTCCCCCAAGTGCGCTGCGAGGAAGTAGACGCTCCAGATTTTTTTTAAAAGTGTGAAGCAAGAGGAAATAATTTGGCGGTAATTGCTGGCATTTTGGCACAGGTCCGAGCCCTGGTTCCTTCGCCATGCCGACAACTGCTTCGTGCTTCGTCAGCTTTACAAAGGACGAGAAACGGTCGATCATCACTGTAGTACTACTGGAGCGAACATTCATTTTATTGTGTTTGTTCACGGACTAGGAGGTAAGGCATATCTTTATCACCTCATCCCGATTAAGTTACGGCAACTTGAGCTCAGGCATGCACGGCTTGCACGTGGCATCGTCGCATCCTGCTGATGGTCTCTTCCAATCGTTCCTGCCGGAAAACAAAAATGAAAGTCAATAGTTCGAAATGTACGTTGCAAACGGTACATGCTCAGCAGAAAGACCACATCAGTGACTAATGTGGCATCAATGTAAACAGTGTATAGTCCTTGAGGACTTCAAAAACTCATGGTGCGGGCCAGGGTGTAAGATAGACAGGTGGGGAAACGAGAGCCAAATGAGAGACCGGATTGTGTCCCCCTCGGTTTTCTCTTTTTCTGTGGCGCCATCTATGTGGAGCACCGCGAACTCTCACTCCGGGTGGGCGACCGGTGGCGACCGGCTAAACTGACGGAGAAGGTTTCTCGTGGATTTTCAATAAAGGACTGTCGTGCTCTCGGTTTATTTTGCGCACTCTCCCATAAAGTTCCATGCAAATTCGATTCCAATTTTTTTCTTCTCGCCGCAGCGCCATCTGTCGCAAATCGGGGGTACCTACAAGCAGACGAGTACAATATCCGGTCACAGCGCTGTGGTAGGTTTCTATGGGCCGTTTCCCCACCTGTCCATCTTACACCCTGGTGCGGGCTAACATGTTCACAATTCGGGCTTCGTCATCTGGTCCTCGGCGTTCTTATCTTTTAATACCGCAGTCCCAACCGTTGCTGAGCGATGATATTGTGGTTCGGACTACCACGCATCGAGATTCTTAAGTTATCAGTGACTACAGAGAAATATGTATAACGCTTTGTTGAAAGAAAAACCTTTCACATTTATTCAATTCACTTTATTGCTTTTGCAATCTTGCTTTTAGTCCCAAAGTTCTTATCTACGTACTGACAGCCCTGGTAGCATTTTCTGACCTAATCCGCGTCTGCACACTTTGATGTGGTAATGATATTCGCAATGACACAAACGGATTGAATACTTCTTTATATCTTTAGTAATGATCATTTGAACCAAAGTTATTACGTTTTAATAACCCACCCCTTTAAAATGAAGAGTCACCTTATGAAACTAAAATGTTCTAAATAAATCGCGCAAAAATGTTATTGAAAGAAGCGACACTAATTTCTTACAAGGTGCGGGTGCAGTGTGTGATCGTTTTATCAACACTTTCAGAAAAGAACCTTTTTGATTCAAAAGTTTCACTAAAAAAACTTTTTTTATGGCATAAGATTTTTCAAATGCGGCGAAAAATAATAAATACCAGGTTACTGTACAGGAAATTTGTTGCATTTGATTAAAAAAAAAAAAAAACTAACTGAAGAGAAGTCAGCAGGATTGTTCTAAAGCAAGTAAGCTGTTTTAAGGCGGACACAGTAACCCTGGAGCAAGAGAAAGAAGGGATGAACGAAAAGAAATCTTTAATATAAAAGTCCATTGGAGACATACATTGAAGACTTGATTTAGTGTTATATCAAAGGCCCGAACAACCCGCAGTGTCGTTTTCTTTCATTGCTGTAGAACAATTTTCAACTATAATTGCCTATTCATAGGGTGTGTACTTTCCGGTGTTTATTTGTGAGAAAAATCGGCGGATGTTTTTCGGTGTTTATTTATTTTCAAAACACCGGTGTATTTCGGTGAAACGCCTCACGACGAGGCTAAAATCGGTGAATATCGGTGAAAAAAAGCGATTGATCACAGACAGAGAGTTCCACTTTTATTCACATAGTTCATACACTTATTCTCTAGGCAGCAACTATTTCTAACACTTGGTTATCATAGTAGATGCCAAGCATACTTTAATGGTTGCATCTACACGCAAGGAACGCGCTGCCGAAAGGGCAGCACGTTCCTTGCGGTTCGCAACCCGCAATTATGAAAACGCATGCTCCTATACGACACGGACGTTGACAGTGTCTTCCAAGAACCACAGCAACCTCTGAATACATGGCTTGCACCGACATCACTTGGCCAGACACAATGAGGAAAAGGCACGTGAGAGCCTACCCTCCACCGTGTTACTTTTTCCACAAAAGGGGGCCATGGGAGACACAATAGGGGAAAGGCGTATGAGAGCTTAGCTTCCACTGCGTTCACTAGACGCTTTTGACCCCCAGAAAGGAGGGCGGACTGACGCCACCTGCAAGCCATGTATAAACACTGGAAGAATGCAGGATCCACGAGATAATACGTTTGACGAACTTCTACGAGGGAAAGGGTTTCGCTAGGTCGGAAACTAGCAACGACCGGTGTCTTTCGGTTTTAACCAGTGCGAAAATATCCAACCACCGGTGTTTTTCGGTTTTAACCGATTTTATATTTTCGTCGCCGACGGATGTTTATCGGTGTTTTTCGGTTGAAACCGGAAAATGCACATCCTACCTATTCACGATGAAACTTTGATTTTAGAGCGCAGTTCTCAGGCGCCCGTTTCCGGTTTGAGCGGCGTCGCCGTCGGCGTCGACGTAACCGCGCGTTGGATGCAACGCGCATGCAAAGCTCGCATACAACGTGTTGCATGCAAGCGGCGTAACCGCCCGTGGCATTATGGGTAGTCTCCCATAATGACGTCACGAGGGTTACGAGGGTTACTATCGCGAGGGTTACGAGGGTTACCCTCACGAGGGTCACGAGCGTTACCCTCACGAGGGTTGCGAGAGTTGGTTAACCTCATAGGGGTTACCCTCACAAGGGTCACGAGTGTTACTCTCACGAGGGTTACCCTCACGAGTGTCACGAGGGGTATGAGAGTTACCCTCACGTATAACCCCCCCCCCCCCTTGAGGTCACGTGACCCCCCCCCCCCTCCCGAGGTCACGTGACCTCAGGGAGTCACCTATCCCTCAGTACTCTTTCATCGTCCTCAAGAGGTGCGCTCTAATCCGGTGTCACAGGAGGTTGTAAGCGGCTTTCATTTTTTATTTGTTCGTTTTAACCGCGACACGTTCTTCCTCTGGCAGATTCACTAAGCGAATATGCACCACGTAGTCTCACTTTTGTTGGAGATTGCAGCATCGCATCAATTAAACGGAACTTTACTTATGTTTTATATTGTATTCGATTGATTGGCTAATATTACAAACAAATAAAATGTGCGTACTTGGAAGGCGTTTTGAATCTGGAGCCTACGTTATATCATTACATATCAAAGATCTTGACGGTACTCTATAAGTCCGACAGTTTTTTCAAGACTGTGGCATAACCAGTTAGTTGTCCATCAGTAGACGTATTGTTGTGAACAGGCTTCTTTTCTACTCTCCACAGGCAGAAGTTGCGACTTTTATTGGGCTAAGAGGTGGATGAAGCTCCTCATCACGGCTCCCAAGCACTTGCTGATATGGTCCGAAGCCAACGGGGTACGCTCCACTAAGGTAGAATTAGTAGCATTAATATATATATATAAGTGCACGTAGCAAGTTAAGATCTCTCACTAAGAAGTGTCTGGTAGTTCCGGTTCTATTAGCCAAGCAAAAACGTGAAATATCCTCAAGAAGCGAAACTTTTCAGGCGAGCTGGTTAGAAAACATCAATGATTGAGGTTAAGATTGCGTGTCATGTTGTCTGTTTTTTATTTCTTCGTGTCCCAAAGTTTAGATTATGATATGAAATATTCGACGTATTTAAACTAAAAAGAAAAAAAATTTTCTGGGGTACAATGACGACCTATAAAACTGCCAGTGTCTATTCTTTCTTACGCTGCTTAAAAATGGCAAAGCTACAAAAGGGTCTTAGCAAGGTCGTAGTAGAATACTTTATTGGATCGGAAATCTGGAGTCTGTAGGAGTAGAGAGAAATATCACTCGTGAGCCGGTTTGTCGAATCCCTCCAGAACGGCTCAGTCGATTCTGTAGAAACGGTTTTAACTGGGCCACTCCACAAAGTCGTTCAGACTCTACCAGATCTAACGAATTAGATTTTAGGACCGGGGACCCCACGCTTTGGTTCCCCCGAGTAGCTTGGGGCACCACATAGAGCGTGCGCAGAACTTTTGCGCATGCGCAGTGCGACGCCCGTAAGCTGCTTGGGGGACCCAAATTGTTAGGGCCCCTTATTCTAGAACACTCTAATCTCCTGCCTCCCGAATAAGAAAAGTATCGTAACTTAATTTCTTTCCTCCTTCTGTAGCGCATAGCCTTTTATTTTTTGTTCGGTCTCTCGCACGCGCTAAAGAGCATACATTTAAGAGAGAGAGAGAGAGATAGAGAACAACTCAAACCCTTCTTGCAATTCAATGGCGGACTCCTCCTGCGGAGATTGAGTGCATGTCCGCACGCGGGTGTTCTCTTGGTGTGAGGAGAATAGCGGCTGGAAAGGCAGAGCCAACGTTACTAGAACAACTCGGTTGAGAAACCGCCATAGAATCTGCTCTGAAAAAGTGACAACGATCCGTACTCGAGAACCGAGCTAATGACGTTCGCAACGCCGCTATTTCTCCCGCATCGGACACTCGGGGAACTGCACGGCTGCTTGTATTGGTTCGGGAGTATTGCATTCGATAGCGTCCGAAGTTGCTGTTCTATTTTTGCTTTAATCGGCCATTTTGGCGCCAAAACTAATGCGGTGGAAGGGGTTTTAGGAATGCCACTCCCATCCCCCAGGCGTACGCGCCGCGAATTACCACAAAAGTTAGGACGCGCCTAGGTTGGGAGGTGCTACCTGAAATCACCGGTGAGACAAGGTTGTATAAAAACAATATTAATTGTGCCACAAAACCTTGTAAACGAAAGATTAAAAAAAAACAAAAAAACATCACGCGCCTGTCATTCTGTACTAATCTCAAATAAAAGTTAAAACAAAAAAGCCTTTTCTCTTTGTTTTTACGCAAAAACATGCTTTCTTAAAAGCTCATGGTGACCACAGTTAAGAAACAAGATTGAGCCGCCATCTTGGTACCTCGAGCCTGGGAGTTTCGGTACTCTGGGAACATTCAGTGACTCTAGAAGTAGCCCTATAAAGACACTTTCAAGTTTCAACTCGACGCTAAAGGGTGGCGCTGTTATCGAACTAAGCTCGGTCTCGATGGGCGCCAGCGGTCCAGGTTTCATGGGTGAGTTTCTGAACTGAGTGTTTTAGTAACATTGGGCAGAGCAAGGTGGAGAGCCTTACAGACCTTCAATGCTTTCGTCTCCTCCCCGCCCTTGCACGGCGAATTCGGCCCATAAACCACGTGACCACGATCGTGTAGTTGGAAATGCTCTCAAATCTAGTCGGACCAACACTCGCGCCTCTACGGTGGCGCCACCTGGAACGTTCCAAGTTAGTGGACGTCGTCCGTCAAATGCTTTCGTTACTTACGTTGAGTGATTAAGGGTTAGAGTTAAAACTGCACTCTGAAACAGAATGTGAGTTCACTTTCCTGCAAAACACTGAGGCAGCCACTCACGGTGAACAATAGAATGGTCTCAGTGAATGACGAAGCTCGAAATGCGATTAAGTTTGGAAAAAGAAGAGCTGATTGGTACATCACAGGTTGATATCGTACCCTCAGTAAAAAGTCTTGGAGCTATTTTCGAAAAGGATCTCGTTTGGAACAAACGTATTAACATGGTTGCTAACAAGCTTGCCCGCGTTGGTGGGGCTCTTGCAAGCATGTTAAGTTTTTTTTCTCTACTTACTTGCATAAAATTGGCAATTTACAACCTGCACTTTCTTTCGCAGTTAATTCCGGTCACTTATTCTGGGGAAACAATACCACGTGTAATATTAATAAACTTTCTCTTACTACAGAAGAAAGCCGTGCGCGCAATTCCCAACTCGATATAAGATGCTCACACGGAACCAAGTTTTAAAAGCATTGGAATCTTTACCCTACAATCCCTATAGAATAGTACATCGATAGAGCGAAATAAGGCAGGATCAAAATAAGGTATCAACTTATTGAATAATAATACAACTTAACAAGAAACTGCAGAACACATGAACCTCGTCACCGCGCAACATGGTACATTCCTCACGCTCGCAATAACTATAGAAATAAATCGCTGTCTCATATGACCAGCCTTATTTACGTCTCTCTCGATCAGTAGACTACGATCTTCTTTTTATTTTTTTGTAGTCATCAGCAAGGTTTGCTAATGTAAATTTCTTTAAATGGGTTTCCGCTGTATATTTTAGCACATATTTTATGTCTTGTGTCTGCTATGTAAGTATCTCTAGTATTTTCCCAAATCTTTATTATATAGCTATTTTATGAACTATACTGTGCTAATTCTGCTGTGCGTGTATGTGCAATTGACGGGGGGGGAGGGTGGCGGTGCAGATCTAATCAAGCCGTATTTGGGTGTTTTTTTTTATTCCCTACACCTTGTAGAATAAATGCGAAAAACCAAAAACAAAAAGAAACATTATTTTATTGTTCCTGCCCACATTGTATTTTTTTTTTTTTTTTTTTTGCAGTCGTGACTGTTTCGGCGTTCGACAAGAAAGTGAACTCAGGACTTTTTTTAGTCTTGGCCGCTAATTCCGAACGCCCAAGGCAAGGCACGTTTTAGGGTGGCTATTGGAACTCAACTTTTTCTCAGTGTTGGGAGATATGAAACGGTCCACTTGTACAGCCTCTTGTACATTCTTTGGTCATGACATTGTTTTCTCCGTTATAGGGAGACAAGACTTTTGATGAGATTGGATTGTGCGGGGAACGCCTTGCGCAAGAAGTCGCCAACTATCTGAACAACATTGGGGCGACGAACTTCAAATTGAGGTGAAATTCCTTCTAATCAATGTGTTTAAATAACTTCTTTCAGGTGCGTTCTCAGGACAAAAAAGTTCAGTGCCACAAAACTTTAAAAAAAAATGAGAAAGAGAGCAACGTCTAGAAAATAAGAAAGCAACGTCTCCAAGGTCTCCTTACAATTTCACATTTTTGTTGCCATGTGCCTTTCAGTTTTACTTATCATCTTGATATCATGCCAATTGAACGTGTACTGTGTGTGAAGGATCTTGGCGTGTACGTTGATAGTGCCTTGTCTTTTAGAAATCATGTATCTTTTGTGGTAGGAAGTTCTATGAGAGTTCTGGGAATCAAATCACGTTTGTCGAAGAATTTCAGGAGGCCTCATTGTTTGTTACATCTTTACAAATCTTTAGTTAGGTCACGTTTGGAATTTGCCTCGGTAATATGGAACTCAATATCTAGGGCACAGGCCTTGACCATCGAAAATGTTCAAAAAAGATTGATTCGTATTGTTTACGATAGGTACTTTGAAAGGCGCTGTTATTATGACTATGAATACATACTTAGGTCATTTTCGCTTACACTCTTGTCTGAAAGGCGAACGATTCATGATTTTGTATTTTTGCATAAGGTTGTGAATAGTGTAATTGATTCGCCATCAATGCTCAGCAAAGTTAATTTTCATGTTAACTTACGCCATACTAGACATCCCGTATGCTTTGATGTACGTTCACCTTGTTGTACTTCACCGCTTTCTCGGATTCAGACATTATACAACAGCATTGCTCCTAAGCACCTCGATTTCTGTACATCCATTTCATTGTACCGCCATCAGTTGAATAACCTTGTAATTTACTGATAACATTTTGTTTGTTTATTTGTTTTTGGGTGATGGTAATATACCAACGTGTTTCTAGGATGGAACAGGTGCACCAAAGTGAAGACCGCTGTGGTTGTTTTTGGGCACTGAAAATAAAGTCATTATTATTATTATATTATTATTGTTACGGGTCCACTGTGTGAGATATACAAGAGTGGTAAAGCAAATAAGGGCTAAGCTGAGTCTTTTTAAGATAAATTTTTTTAATTGTGTAAATTTCTTAATTATTGTTATTATAAAAATAGTAATGAAACAATTAGTTAAATCTGATTAACGATTAAATAATTTGTAATGAATAATTTTACGTTCGTACATACACAGCAAACAAATATCGTTGCGTTTCTGTATCGAGGTCAAAAACGGCACAGAGAAGCCGCCGTTGATTGCCAGGTTGGTGCAGTATTTGATATTCCGATGGATTCACGTATGTGGGGCAAACGAAAAGGTGCTTGAATGATAGACTGCTTGAACACATGATGGCAGTTAAGAACGGGCCTCCGAACTCTAAGATTGCTAGACATGTACAGGAATGCAATAATTGTTTGCCTGAGTGGGGATCTACTGTTGCTTTGAGCCAAGAAAAATATTGTGCAAGAAGAGTCTTGAAAGAGACAGTCAGAATCACGACTGTAGACACTTGTATCACTCAGCCGTCGAACACACTAGACCAGGGGTGGCCAGGATGACCCGGCCTAAGAGAGCCACGGGGGTGGGGGGGGGGGGGGGGGGGGGGGGGGAGATTTTGTTGAGGGCAATAAGCGAAACTCGAACTACTTTGAATCTATCTGAGTCAAAATCAGTCCAAGTGTACGTAAGGTAACAGTAGCACAAGACTACCATTTCGCAACCTGTCTTAAAACGCGTTCCGTTTTTTCTTTTTGCGAAAGTGCTCGTGTGACCGGGAGGGAGGCGGGGGAGGGGGGGGGGGGGGGGGGGGGTGGAGGGTTAGGGAGCCGCGAGCCGCACTTTACCACGCGAAGAGCCGCATGTGACTCGCGAGCCGCAGCTTGGCCACCCCTGCACTGGACGAAGCGATCCGAAAGTTTTTGCTGCTGTAATTTTTTTTTTGTTTTTCTCCGGTGTCACTTTATCAGTTTCAGTGCGGGCCTTTCGTACAAGACGCGGGTTATGCCTTGGAGGTTGTGTGAAGGTGTTGTGCGTTGTATCCGAACTTGGTAGTTTGTGACAAGGGGCTTTGTTTGCAATGCTGCGTACGAACTGAGTTCGGTCGTCTGAAATGAGGTCAAGTGGAGATCTACCCTGGCTGAAAGTCCTAGGGGCGTGTGCAGTTTCCGGCAGACGTGTGTGAGAGGTGGTATATAAACGACTCTGCCAATAAAGTTTTGTAGCTGTGTTTGGGAGACGCCTGGTGTGTTGTCCCCTTTTTCGTCCCTCGTCTCCGGTTTTTCAAAAAAAAAGTTTAATACAATAGGAATAACCGCTACATAAAAATAGGACCAAGAAAAACAGAAAAAATTTGCGACAGCACAACAGCTGTTGCCCTGTCGAGTCATTCGCAAAGCTCTTTCCATAGTATGCAGCGACTGGCTCTCCCAATCGTAAACGCTCCAGATTGGTTAGAGTGTAGACGCACTGTTTACGTGCAAAACCCGCAAGCCTACTTTCCCCGCGTGGAACAAATGCAGCCAATCATCGCCTTCTGTGTAAAGAACACCGTAAATAACAAAGTCGAGAAAGCGTTCACCGGCAAGACTGCAATCTGCGTTTTCGCCTGATCACTTTTTTCTTTTTTTCTGAAGCCTCTGGACCTCTTCGGGCTTCGGTGATGATTGACTATTCGTGTGCTGTTTAGAAAGGTAACGCGCAGCTTGTTGTTTTTATATTTTCATAAACAATGTTTCTAGTACTAGAGGAAGCGCAATTTTTTGTGCATTTTCGCTATTTTTATTTTGAACCACAGTGACTCGAAAACTTTCCAAAGCGGCAGCACTGGATAAAACGGGCGGAGGGGGGGGGGGGGAGGGGGAGGGGGAGGGGGGGGGAGGAGTCTACAGTTCAGGGCCTAACCTCTAAGAGCAAGCGAAGGGGTTCTATTTATTGTGGTTACTGTATGAATCCCCCTATCGTTAAACATAGGACGCCAGGTATGCATCGTGGAAATCAGAAGGAGGAGAAGGGGCTTATCGTAACTTCGTTTTGCCCGATCAGTTCGAGTGGTCTGGTGAAGCTGCAAAAATAGGAAATTCCCGCTGCTCTGCAGGGAGGCCCCTTGCTTACAAGGCGGTCGGCGTTTGCTGATAGATTGTAGCCCAGGTTTTCGTGGTTTTCTGTCAATCCCTATAATAAAGTCATGGGCGGCTACTCGCTTCTCTTCTCCAGCTTCGGGAAAGGGGGACAGAGGGCTACAGTACCTCCAGAGGAGTCCCTTGTCATTTACTCTTATGAGCGGGCCACGGGAAAAGGAAAGCTCACGGCGCTCTTCGAGAAAGACAACCAGGTGCGGGTGTGTTGGACGCCCGTTATTGTCGGGCTTGTATTGTTACTGCACAGGCTTTTGATACCAGGCCCAGAGCTTTACTTCAATAAAATAAAACGTGCCTGACGCTGTTTGGACCACTCTAAAATGAGCTTTGATTGCCTCGTATTTCGGTGTGCGCTGGCAGGCTGCCTTTGACGCAAGATCCTCTGATTGAAGTTTTTTTTATAACACTTAGAACTAGACGGTGTAGTAAACAACCTCTCCTCATACCACTGCAGAAAAAAATCCCCCAATTCGAAAAAGCACATGTGGCTCTCGTTCCAGTGTACATAGAATTTGCTTTTTAATCAAGAATAAATGACTCGGAGGAAGCCTTTTAGGCACTCTTCCCCAAAGGGCAAACATTGTCAAGGTCTTTTTTATTTATGAAGCGTCATCTTTGTTATTATGATAGAGTAAACAAAGACACAGGGATCCACTCCCTGGCCCCCGACTGGCTCTACTGGGATGAAGGCGTGCACATACACACGGACAACGCGGTGACGCATACGCACACTGCATTCTACGTTTGACTAGGCCAGCTTTTTGTTCTCAGCTGTGACGTCGTTTACGTGGAAAGAGTAAAATGTGTGTCGCCAAGAAACACAGACGTCCGGCTTAAATTTACTTGTCGAGCTGCCTGAAAACCACTATACGAGTGTCCCATTCCATCACTTGTTCCCTCGGAGTTCGAATACTCCTCCTCCCACCCACGACGTGTGCCTCCAGAAAGGTGATATGTTGCCCTGATATTTAGATGGAAACTGGGGACAGACTCGCCAGCAGCATGAGGAAGAGTTTGTGATTGTCCAAAGTGTCCCAGCAAAGTGGCCAGCAGTTATCACTGTCACGTTTTGTGATGAATGCATCGTAAGAAAGCCAATGTACTTTCAGAGTTGGGCGGAAACATTTTTGTTTCCGAATAAACTATACAAGTGGGAAACGCTTTATGCCTGAAGGCTGTAAAGGGGGAAGTGTGCTAGCGGCGCTTGTAAATCTATTCGAAGTCCGAGGCTCTTTTTAACCTTTAACCCTTTCCCTACCATGGACGACCTAGGTTCGTCCACACTGCTTGTACCGCTCCTCTCGAAAACGGGCTGGGCTCGTCCGCATTGATTCGGGCTCCAATACGTTACCATGGACGAACTGGGCTAGACCACGTGTTTCGAGTGAGCTTTGCCGTGGATAGATGGCGCTTCACGGAAAATAAAAACCTGGTAAATTCTTGAACTTGGCAGAAAATTGTTCCAACGCAGACAACATGGGATTTAAAAATAGCGTTGTGAACTTCTGGTCGCGGAGATCGTATTGACGATCTTGCCTAAAAATTGGGGCGAAAACGAAGATATTGTGACGTCTCTTCAGATTCAGAAGACGAGGAAATGACACTTTCATCAAACAGCAAGAGCGATGCAGCTGAGTTATTGAATTTTAGCTCTGACGACTCCGAGTTCAATGAGGACATCCTGTCGGCGTGTCGGCATTGGACTAGAATCGAAGTAGAAAATCCCCACTCCAGCCCCTCCACTCTTTGCGTTCACGTTGCGTGCAAAGTGATGTGAACTGTCTGCACTACTGCTACGCCCGGCCTGAACGTCCATGTGCAAGGTGACGGGAACTGTCTGCGGTAATGCAGTGAAGCGGAACTTTAATTCATTTTTCTTTTGCAGTCTGTTCAAAGATTTCTCATATAATAAGTATTTTGGCATTTGTTTTTCGCCTTTGTATTGCATACTAAATTTATAAGGCACATAACAAAATCGGTATTTTCAAATCGTGTTTTTTTTTTTTTTCAAAAATTTTGCAGTAGGCAAAGGGTTAATGTGCGAATTACTTTTAATTCCGAGCCACCAGACTTCTTTCACCACGCACGATCTTTCTGACTGAAAGAGAGGATATGAAAACGTTCACGCACGTGAAAACAGTCTCTCGAACACCTTCGTGCCGATATTGCTAGCCCCCTCTAATTTTCGACGTAATCTTTTGCACTCTTCTTTGAATAACCGAATATTCCAGTAGTATAGTAGGGGCGGTCTCGGGGGGAGGGGAGAGGGATGTTCTCGCACGGTGCTCCGAGGGGCTTATATTCACGCGCAAACTTCGGGATGGTTGCTTTTTACTACTTCTAGACCTCGGGTTAGAGTTAACAGGCAGTCATGTCTGTTGGTCATATAAGCCATGATCCCAAGAGGGGTCTCCTTCCCTTCGACTCCTCGCGTTGTAAACTCGTAAAAAGAAGTATTGTTGATTAACGTTACAGTTACAGAAAAATTGCTTGATCTCGCCTACATGCGGCTTTGGAAAGATCGTGCCACCCTGCAGTACCTTCCAGTTTCGGCCGGTAGGTAGAGCGACTGGTTGTGGCTGGATTCACCACATCATTGAATTAGTACCAGGGGAGGGCCACAGTGTAAAAAAGATAGGCCGAGCAAGAGACCGATAGTCATTTTCTGCCTTTATCAAATATCCCCCAATCTAAAAACGTCCGAGGACAACTAAGCACTTCTTACGAGTTGTGAATTCGAAAGCAGGCCGCCTGCGACGTAATGCTTCCTCCTCGAGTTGTCCAAGGGCCTCGTCCTGTTGCCGCCTCCGGTGCTTAGAATCGCGATCCGCTTGCGCCTCACACTTTGGAAAGGCTTTGTTCTGTCTCGTAGCGCGTTGCGCCGCTGCTCGTTCCACCCTTCGTGTATTCGAAGACTTGACAACGATGGTGGATTTCGTCGCGGGCCTCTTCGCTCGTTGTGCTGCGTTTATTTCTCCCTTGGTTCGTCTGCAGTGTACTTGCGTGGACGGGCAGGTTTCACTACTGCCGAGGTTGCGGCCACTGACGATGTAGGTCCTTGAGGCGGCGCCATGTTCGTCGGCGTTCAAAGGAACAGAAGCGGCCGAGCGCGCGCCACCGCGTTCCTTTTACCGGCGCGGGGCCCTCCGAGCCATGGGGTGGCGTTCCTTGAAACGATGACGCGCACCATGCCAATGGGAGCCTCGTTCCTTAAAACTATGACGCGCGCCAGCCAATGGGATCCTATCCTTCAAATCGCTGCTACAGAGGACAGGCTTCGCTCTATTGAGACAGGGGAAGCTAGGTGCCGTTTGGCGCGGCTTCAAAAGCTGATAACGCCGGTTCGCTCCATAAGACAGTTAATGCTTTCGCATTAAACAAAAAAAAATGGCATAAAAATATGACGTGTCTATGGTGTTTCCTGCGCCCAAAAAACTCGCGCAATTGTGATATATTGTGAATTGCGCTTGGATCCACTACAAAAGTGGATCCAAGCGCATTTGCTGAGTAAAACATAGGAACAAATATCTGAAATGTACGATGGGCGTCATGTATAGGACTCTGCTGACGTGCGGCAAGGTATACGTTGGCCAAACGGGCCGATGTATAAATGAAAGATTGCGTGAGCATGCTTTGTCTCTGCGGTCGACAGCTGGGGGGCACCTGCCGCCTCATTGTGCAGATTGTGGATGCCAGCCCAACTTCCATCACCTCATGATTACTGGAAGAGAGGGGGGGGGGGGGGATCAGATGACTAGGGAGATTCTATAGGCCTGCATGATCGAAAAAGAAGGGACTGGGCAATGTGTAAGCCAAGCATTGGTCCTTCTACATAGGAGAGAGATCTGTTATCTGGACGTGTGCTGAATTGGTCATTATGGTCTGGAATGGCTGTTGTTTTCATCGGTGTGCATTTTCAATAAAAACCTTCAGTTGACAGTAAGCGCTTGTCCTGTGTACCCCGTTTACTTCGTCTTGGTTTCTTGTACGCGGTGTTGAATCTACCATAAATACGACCAACCGCCAGGATCGCGACATTCGATAGCATGACAGCCCGGCTTTTGTGACGTCATTTGTTTCCACTTAGACACCGCTTTTGACGCAAGGCCCGAATAGGATCTGCTAAACAGAACAGTCATATTGATACGTTCTTCGGCGTTGTAATCGGCTCATGTCGTAATCTTATTGGTCAGGGAGCGGTAATAATATGCTCACAACACCCTGAGTATCTTGAGGTCTCAGTTAGCACATAGCTTATAATGTTTCCGCTTCTTGCTTTGTGATTTGTTCTTCACAGTTTTCACCGGCTAATGTGTCACTTTAGTTGGCGGCGGAAAGATATTAACATCCGCTGGGCTCACCAGACCCTGCGTGCCTTAAGCTGGCATTGAATATGAATATAGCTGGTATTAAATACGAATATAGTCAAGTAGCAAAGTTTTGGTGTCACATTAGAGAACTTCGCTAGGTTAATCAAATTTGCAAGAACGTTCATCTTGATGTTCGCCAGTTTTGTTGACAGCTAGTGCAGAGTTACGTTTGTATTGAAGCAATTATGTATGAGTGGAGCGTGTTGATAAAAAAAGGACGCGTAATAACAGACAAATATTTAAGAGTTTTGATATAGGACACATTTTATTTACGCATTTTTTATGTCTCTCGGTCTTGCTGAAAAACTGCGACGATGAAAAAAAAACCGCTAATATTCGCATTATTTTAATGTTTCCTGCGTGAAAATGCATCGTTTGCTTCCGCTGAGTGTGATCGGTTGCAAATAACCTCACCTGTTCCTCGCAGCACTTGCCGCGATCGCACTTTCCGCTTATATAAGACGCGTTCTGAGCCGGCGCTTTCGTTTTTGGTTTCATTCAGCTTCGTAGGATTTTCACTGGGATGCGTGACGATCCGGGCGGCGCTCACCTGCCCGCAAATGCGGCCGTACATCAAGAACCTCAACACGTTTCTTTCTCTGCATGGGCCGCATCTCGGAGTCCTTTACGCGAACAACAAATTCCTCAGATTCCGTAAGCGTCTCAACGATTTCATTCATACATTTTCATTCGATGGACAATAGGCCCTAACAAAATCACAATCAAGCAACATTGGTGGTCGCCAGTTTTTGGGCGCAAAGCGCGTCTTTGGATCTGAGCGCTCGCCAAACTATCGATACGATGAGCAGTATACTCGTCCTATCGAAGACAAGTACTGCTGAGGCAGTACTCTTCCTTAATACGGGTTGGGTTGAGTTCACACCTAGCACTGACGCAGTTCTCATTGCCAATACATGCTCAGAGCACGTGTACAAAAATTGGGGGACTCAAATAATTGTCGGAGTGGCTACTAGATGGTGCACAATTTTAAAAGGAAACTGTTTCATTTAAACACGCGTCTGATCGATGTGGAATTCGACGAAAGCGATATTTTCCGTTGTTGTGTATCGTAAAAAAAGTGTCATAAAAAAAAAGAGCGAGATAATTTTTTGATGGTAGCGCCAAAAGACAACGCTATAGCGACAAAGGGCGCTAACAAACAGACACTGATTTTTTTTGTGTTTTAATTATTTATGTTATGATAGGCTACTTTTATAAATAAACTCTTGACAAGTGTCAGACTAATCACAATCGTTCGTTTGCGTAATGTTCTGGAAAAATAACCGCAAAACCAACTAGATCATATATATGATTTAAAACTGTCGCAAAATTTAGGATGTGATCGCTCATTTTTCAGTTTTATCGGGGCAAATAAGGTGTAAATTGCAGTGTCCGTGAGATTGTTGTCGAAAAGAGGCGACAATTATACAGACCACGTGACATTTGATTTTCTTCCTACGTTTTTTTTTCCAAATTTGCCTTGATGGTATTGAACTCGCTTTGAATGTCTCTGGCGACTTTAAAGGGGTCATGAAATGATTTTTCTACTTCTTAACGTTAGGGAGATTCACTCCCTAACGTTAAGAGCCGAATAAATTTTCCTAAGATTTTCTTTCTATGGAATGGCAGTCGGCAAATAAATGAGAGAAATATGAGCATCGTTCATCTCCTCAACTCGGAGCCAGAACAAGCGGCCACGTGCCTATCCTAGGCCGCCAACGTTAATTATAGCCACGGGCTGGGGTAGGCAAAGTAGAAAACGCGTGCTGAGCTCCAGGCATTGTTAGAGTTCGGCTATACTCGTCACAGCAGTGGTTGGACACGAGCCATCACCCGACTGTCCGCCGAAACATTGATTGTTACGAGCCGAAGTCGAGTGTTCACGCAGTTATCGTGGTCAATCCATGAGCCGCGCTCGACTGTTTTCAGGCGGGTGGTTTCGATCCCACATTACGTCATCCACCTTTCCGAAGGTAAGACTGAAAGAAATAGTCCCCTTTTATTCTCGTAATTTCACCGCGACCAAAAAGCCTCTGAATCTGTTGCGGTCCGTGCGAGTATGCTTGGGCCAGACTAGAACCAGTACGCCTCTGTGAAGTCCTAAACAATTCAACACGATATCGCCTAATGACCCCTTTAATTAATTATGCTCTCAGAATGTTCTTAACGGGTGGCAAATCATCGGTTATCAATGTCACTTTTGTAGCGTAAGCTACACTGGCTGAGGTCGAGAAGTTTCGCGTGGCTCCTGGAGAGCCGTGCTGCGCATGCGCGAGGAGAAGTGACGGAACGGGCAGGACTGGTATGGCGCCTAGGTCAGCCAGTCCCCGATACAGGCGCCACGCTCATGCACCCGCTCGAGATCATGGCTCACGCTGTCCGGTTGTTCTGGGCGGCAGCTTGGTTGCTTGATACATAACAACACGGCGCACAGCTGGCCAAACCAACCACGGGCATCTGGCACGCCCCAGCCACGGTGGCCCCAGCGGAGGATTAATTTGGATCACCTGGGGATCTTTTGACGTGCAACCGAAAGCTCAGTTACACGGCGCCTCCTCCGCAATAAGAAGAGCGGAGAAGCTTAGCTTATCGGATCCCGAAGTATTCACATAATGCGCATACCGTGTGTGTGTCATTGAAGCAGCAGTAAGCATGATAATCAAGCTGATCCTAGGCAACCAGGAAAGCTAAGAATAACCAGCTGAACCTAATAGCGAGTTCGTTTCACACGCACTGGCACCGTTCGAGTTCTCTCCCAGAATGCATCGCACTCACAGAGTGTTGCACGGAAAACTGGACTCAAACGAACTCGCCAAATGCACCGAGTGCAGAAGACTGATGCTGCCGCCATCTATGTTATAGAAAACGTACCGACTTCAAACCGAAACTAGCGCCTTTCTGTGCGGAGTGATGCGTGGGAATGCGAGAATGCAGTCGCTACCAACGTTTATCTACAAACGTTGGTCGCTGCAACCTGTAGTTTGTAGTTGCGATGACTTCAAGCAGCTAGGCTGCCGTAGAGATAATTACAGACTGCGTAAATTTCCGCAACCAGCTGTCTACAAAGCAGCTGGTTGCGATCTTTCAATTCTTATAACCGTTTACACTGAAGAAAACTGATAATTTTGTCCGAGCAGAAGCTTGGTCCGTTTGAGCATGGTGTTACGCGTGAACCACTGAAAGGGTACGGCTTAAAACTAGCCTGTTGGAATATCCAGCAAAACTGAGACTTTCGATTTGGATTGTCATTATAGGTGGATTAGATATTAGCCTTGGTGAGGGCTTCGAGAACGAGAGCTTTCTCGAACAAAATACGACGGGGCGAGTTAGCTGACGTAGGTAAATGTTAAACATGATGATGTTGCCCAATCATAGTGTAAAGTCTCCATCTTTAGCTTTCTCTGATGCTTATTGGGCAGTCAGAGGTTTCTGCTGGGGGAGTTTTGTCGACAAATGTTACTACCGGATACGCCTGTTAGGTGGCTGGGGACGAGACTACACAGAAAAGGTCTATATTCTGGGATAGCCGAGCTAAGCTACTGTTTTCTTTTGTTTTTTTGTTTTTTTGCTGTACGAGTGTATTCTCTACACTTGGGTGGTGCGTTGGTAATGAAGTTAACAGAGAGATCTTACCAGGCGTTCAACGCATGCGTGACGCCGCCATAACTTTAGGTCAATAGGGGTATTCACTGACGGCCATAGATGAGTGCATAGGCTCTCGGCGCGTGCTGGCGGAGAAATTCCACACAGCTTTTCAAACGCGCATTTCTTAGCGTAAAGGATGCCGGTCTAGGGAGCCTATACAGGGCGATGCACACAGTTGCGTCTAGTCCGACCGGGTGCAACTGCAACGGCTTGCGATGTACGGGTTGCTATGGCAACAGGTGCGTACGCTCCAACAACACCGGTTTTTACCCCGTTTTGTTGGAGCCGACGCAGCTGATGCCATAGCAACCCGTACGTTGCAAGCCGTTGCAGTCGTACGCGGTCGAACCGAATCAAGGGTGTGAACCAACCTTAACTGTGAGCATGCTCATTGAACACTCTTGACAACTCGTGCCATCTCGTGCTCTGCACTCGTAGAGTTTACATCGAGGTTATCGAACGAGCAGAAAGACTTGAGTTTCCTCGATGCAACGTGGCAGATCCGGCGTATCGAAACTGGCTGGTGAAATTGGGCGATTTATTGAATATAAAGAAGGCATTGTTGAATACCGAGTTTCTATTACGCGGAACAGCTAACAAAATCGCTCGCCTCATTAAGTGAAAAGTCATCGCTTAAAATTAATTTAATTGATGTTTATTTAAGCTTCCTTCTGCCAGAAAATTTCCTTCTCGACCGAAGTCAGTAGTCAGTAGCTTAGCGGGGGGGGAGGGGGGGGGGGGGGAGGGGCGCTTAGGGGTCAGCGACAGCACTAATACGCAGTCCTACCCTACTACGCAGCTCCCGTTCCGCCTCTGAGTAGGAACGGGAGCTGCGTAGTGGGCTAAGAACTGCGTATTAGTGCTTTTGCATCATCATTGGGTTCGACGGAATGTCTAAGCAAGCCGACTTTTTTCTTGCAGAGCTTTCTCTCCTGTCAAAAATGAAGATGAAGGGATCGATGAAGCAACTCGCCTTTCAGGACTCCCCAGATATCAGGACGTCTTACATCTATATCCTCAGCCGTGCACCAGGTTACATAGTCAGCAATTAGAAACGTTAGGTTAACACATTTTAGTCGGGCTATAATGTAAATTTCAACTAAAACGATATATGTCTCTGTATTAAAAATAATTATATATGGTTTATCGCGTGCCAATCATTCTAAAACTGAGGATTTATTGCCGTATGACAATTAAGCAGATGAGCATCTTTGTTGTTCCAAAATAACAGAACACATAAACCATTAAAATTGCATTGAGCTTGTTGGTTGGTTCATTGTGATCTGGAGGACTTAAAAGCGAAAAAACACAGACGAAGAAAACACACAAACAACACGGACTGGCGCTAACTTTCAACTGATTTAATCAAGGGAAACCACCCTGCAGAGATGCGTGAACAAACTTTCCTATTGTAGCGTGAAATTAAATGAGTTGCCGATGGTGGTACGCGGCGGGCCGCTTGCTGTGCTCCCCTTCCCTAAAACCGGTCGTCGTCACAGCGGAGACGGGCTCGACTCGCTCCGGCCTTGGGGGCCCGCCGGTTCCTGAACACGTGCACCGCGCATGCGACGAAGTCCCCCGGGCCGGAGGGAGGAGGGAAGTGGTTTGGCGAGTTTCGCCGCTGGGACAAGGCAGTCGGGACTCGGGAGGCAGGCCGGTAACCGGACCGTCGTTCCGCCAGCGGAAAGTTTTGTATCCCCAACCATTGTCATTCAGTGTCCTACACTTACGGTTGTTACAAGTGGTGGAGGTGCGGGGTAGGTCTAAACTCTACGATATGACAGCGGTTTCAGAGCTGGTGGGGCGCCTTCAGTCGACGCCATCGACACCACGGACGGCCTAGAAGGAGCGGCCGACTCCCGGGTTCTGCGGAGCGGGAGGATCATCAACACGGCGGCGATGGCCACGAACCAGACCCCCCCAGAAGCCGGAACACCGGGAGCTGCGGCGTTCAGGTCTATGTTTACGCCACCGGTGTTTCAAGGCAATCCGGAAGATGACGTCAGCGACTGGCTGCTGTTCTACGAGCGGGCAGGGGATTTCAACGGTTGGGACGGAACGCGCCGTGAGCAGTACCTGTGCGTTGCTCTTGAGGGAAATGCTCGAAAATGGTACTCCACGACACTGCGAGGGACCAACGCACCAACTACCTGGGAAACGTGGAAGGCAGCGCTCAAGGAGACCTTCGGGAACCGCAGCATGCGGGAGTGGGCCCATCTGCGGCTCAGCCAGCGGTTCCAGCTGCCGTCGGAGCTACCGGAAGAGTACTTCTACGATGTACTCCAGCTCTGCGCTCGAGTCAACGAGGCCATGACAGAGGAGGAAAAGCTCCGACAGCTGACCCGCGGCCTCAGGCCAGAAATGCTGGAACGAGTCGTTCTGGCCAACCCGCAGACCACGGCCGACTTCCTCGGCACACTCCAGCGTCTGACCCAAGCAACCGAGATGGCCAAACATAATATGTGGGCTATGCCGTCCCATCCACTGCCGGGATTTAACACTCGGCCGTCGCAACACGCGAGTCAGGAGGTACGAGCCAGCCAAGCTTTCTTGGACCCCCAAGGAGCAACGCCACAAGGGATGACAGCACCGGGCTTCTACCAACAGCCGTCTGCGCCACCGCCTGAGGTTACGTCGTCGCCACATCTGCAATCGGAGGTGGGCAACTTCTTCAAAACTCTGACCGAAGTGCTTAGACCGCTCACCGAGTACAATGCCAGAAGGCCCACATTCCCCGCGCGCACGACACGCGCCGCCAACGGACAGCCTATCTGCTTTAAATGCGGAAGAGTCGGACATATCCAGAGGAGCTGCCCAAGACGCGACGTTCAGTCGGGAAACGGACCCGCCCGGGACTAAGGCCGCCTCCCGGGGAAGCAAAGGGTGAGCCACTTCTCGCGACTCTCGCAAAGAGCCACCTGGCTATGCTGCCGGCAACAGTGCATGGCGAGAAGACGTCTCTCATTCTCGACACGGGATCGGCAGTTAATGTGATTTCGGGAAGATTTCTCAACACGATCAAGGCCCCTTTGAAGTGCAGCCCCTCGGGTATAAGTGTGAGGGTGATCAGCGGCGCAGTTATAGTGCCGCGAGGCGAAGTTGAACTTGAGATAACAGTCGGGGTCAACAAGCTTTGGGAGCGTTTCCTCGTAATCGAAGGGTTTGACTACGACGTGCTATGCGGCCTGCCATTTTGTCGCACTGCGGGCGTGGTACTGGATTTCCCTGACAAGTGCATTTATTTGCTGGGACAAAAGTTCGGGCTTACCGGTCACGAATCTACCACTACAGGAGACGCGCCCGTATACTGCTGCGAAGAGGTTTGCATACCGCCACGCTCTGAGGCCGTGGTGTCGGTGAGAGCTGACATGAACGGACTGGCCGTGATTGAACCTGCGACTGGCAACCACTCCAAACAGCGTCCAGTGATTGCTCGTACCATCACTGAACTTTCCGGAGGTATCGGATGCGTGCGAGTGGCCAATCCTGGCGGTTCTGAGCTTTTTATTGCCAAGGGCACAAAAATGGGAAACGCGATCCCTATCGCGGATGTTCAGCTGGGCGTCGCCGCTCCACTGACCTCGGAGACACCTGGAGCCAGGGAAGGCGTGTCGTTCGGAGAGACCTTGGAGCCAAGCGAAAGAGAACGCCTGCAGAATCTTGTGAGTGAGTACAGTCATCTCTTCGCATCGCCTGATTCTCCGCCTGGAAGGACTCATGTCGTGACTCATGGCATCGACACAGGCAGCGCGACCCCACTTCGACAGAACCCGTACCGGCACTCCCCGTATGAGCGAACTGTGATCCAGGAGCAAGTCTACGAGATGCTCGGGAACGGCGTGATTCGCGAATCGTCCAGCCCTTGGTCATCGCCAGTGGTACTCGTCAAAAAGCGGAATGATACCTGGAGGTTTTGCGTTGATTTTCGACGAGTGAATGAGCTCACCAAGAAAGATGTTCACCCGTTGCCAAGGATCGACGACATTGTTGACGCCCTGCAGGGAGCAAGGTACTTCACGACGCTTGACTTGGCCAGCGGATATTGGCAGGTCGCCATCGATGAAAAGGACAAGGAGAAGACGGCGTTTTCGTGCAGTTCAGGCTTGTACGAGTTCAATGTAGTCCCATTCGGGCTCTGCAATGCACCGGCCACCTTCCAACGCATGATAAACAAAGTCCTGTCGACAATGCTGTGGAGGGTGTGCCTCGCATATCTGGACGATATCGTGGTCTACTCCAGGACGATCGAGCAGCACCTGTGTGATCTTCGGGACGTCTTCGGGGCCCTCCACGGGGCCAACTTGCGCCTACAGCCCTCCAAATGCACATTTGGTGCCGAGGAGATTCGATACCTCGGACATGTGATCAACGGAGTGACTGTTCGACCTGATCCTGAGAAGCTGAGAGCTGTGAGCGACTTTCGAGTGCCGAGGTCAAGGCGCGACGTACAGAGTTTTCTCGGCCTCTGCAATTACTACAGACGATTCATACGTGACTTCGCAAACATCGCTAGACCCCTCACCGACCTCACGCGAAAGCAGGTCACTTTCCATTGGGATGATGACTGCAATCGGGCATTCGAGGCTCTGAAGAGGTGCTTGACCACGGCTCCCATTTTGTGTCACTTCGATCCAGACTTGCCCACTGAGGTTCACACCGACGCCTGTGGGTATGGGATCGGCGCGGTCCTCGTTCAGAGAAAGGACGGCCAGGAGAGGGTGGTGGCGTACGTGAGTCGACATCTCAATCGAGCGGAGCAGAACTACTCTACGGTGGAACAGGAGTGCCTCGCGGTTGTGTACGCCTGCCGACAGTTTAGGCCGTATATTTTCGGAAGCCATTTTACGATTATCACGGATCAGTCTAGCCTGACGTGGCTAATGAATGCCAAAAATCCTAACGGAAGACTCGTCCGATGGAGTATTTTGCTGCAGGAATACAACGCAACTGTGACGCACCGCCCGGGCAGAAAGAACATGAACGCCGACGCTCTCTCACGACTACCAGTAGAGCAGCAGACCAACGACGATGAGAGCGAGCACCCGCTGCTGGCCTTGCGGGAAATCGACGTGCCAAAAATGCAAAGAGAGGATGGTTTTTTCAAGACGCTCATCGACCACCTCGAAGAGCCGGAGGCACCCGTCGCAACGAAAACCAAGCGCGTTGCCCGGGCCTTTCACCTCCTCGATGGAGCACTGTATCGCCGGGCAAGAGGGTTCGAGAAGTTCCAGTCAGCCTTGGCTGTCCCCCGCCAGCTACGTAAAGAAGTCTTGTTATCGTGCCACGATGATTTGACCAGCGGGCATTTGGGAGTCAAGAGAACCTGGGAGAGAGTGCGCCAGAGGTATTACTGGCCGAGGATGTTTCGAGCCGTGCGCAGCCATGTGCGGTCATGCCCTGATTGTCAGACGAAGAAGACGCCACCCTTGATGACTGCAGGAAAGCTACAGCCGATACCCCCCAGCCCCAAGCCATTTCAGCAGGTAGGGATGGACTTTCTGGGGCCCCTTACCAGGACGACTGATGGCAATCGCTACGTTCTCGTCATCACGGACTACCATACCAAATGGGCGGAGGCGGTCGCAACTCCCGATGCGACAGCGGCAAGCGCCGCAACACACTTTTTGGAGCGCGTCGTGCTTCGACACGGAGCTCCTCTAAGCCTGATCACCGACAGGGGAAGGCACTTCGTTGCGGATATGATAGAAGAGCTCTTCCGATTGACCGCCACGAATCACCACCGGACCACTGCCTACCACCCGCAGACGAATGGGTTGTGCGAGAGATTTAACCGCACTCTCTCGCACATGATAAGCATGTACGTGTCGGCTGATCATCGGGACTGGGACCGTTTTCTGCCATACGCGACCTTTGCCTACAATACCTCTGTGCATGACACGACGAAGTTCACGCCCTTCTTCCTTTTGCACGGACGAGAGGCAACGCTACCCCTTGATGCGGCACTAGGAGTACAGTCCGACGAGGTGCGGGCCCCGAGCAACCAAGGGGTGCTGCAGAGGTGGCAAAGAGCCAGAGAGCTTGTTTCCACTCGTGAGCTGGAAGCACAGCGGAAGAACAAACAGAGGTATGACGTCAGCAGAAGGGAGGCCACTTTTCGCACAGGAGACCTGGTCTACATTCGGACGCCCATCCGCAAACGCAATCGGACCACGAAGTTCCTGCACCCTTTCCATGGACCCTTCAGACTGCTGCGCCAGACCGGAGCGAACAACTGGGAAATCGTCGACCGCACCGGGCGCCGGAAGGACATCGTGAACGTGGCACGGCTAAAACCGTACTACGAACGTCCGGGAGACCCCGACGGGGACGGTGAGATTGGGGAGGATGGCTCGGCGGGGCTTGACCAAGCTAGTGATGAGAGTTCGGAAGACGAGTTCTTTGATGCCGTGGACGTACCGAACACTCCGGAACCGCTGAGAGCTCAAAGTGAAAGTGCTAGTACAGTGACCACAAACCCGGCAGATCATGGACTCCGACGCAGTGCAAGACTTGAACAAAGGAAGGGTCAGGTGTGACAATTGTATGTGCACTAAGTCCTCCGTTGCCGCTTATTTCTTCTGGCATGAAGTGCTTGTGTGTTCAGATGCTGCGCTTGCGGTTTTCTTTGGTGTATAATTTATGTGCGTGAAATTCTTGGTGTGTGTCGCGGATGTTAATGCTGAGATTGGGACCTCTTCAGCTGAACAGGGAGGAATTCGTAGCGTGAAATTAAATGAGTTGCCGATGGTGGTACGCGGCGGGCCGCTTGCTGTGCTCCCCTTCCCTAAAACCGGTCGTCGTCACAGCGGAGACGGGCTCGACTCGCTCCGGCCTTGGGGGCCCGCCGGTTCCTGAACACGTGCACCGCGCATGCGACGAAGTCCCCCGGGCCGAAGGGAGGAGGGAAGTGGTTTGGCGAGTTTCGCCGCTGGGACAAGGCAGTCGGGACTCGGGAGGCAGGCCGGTAACCGGACCGTCGTTCCGCCAGCGGAAAGTTTTGTATCCCCAACCATTGTCATTCAGTGTCCTACACTTACGGTTGTTACACTATCTTGCCAACCCCTTGTGATAAAAGCAATCCCTGAACACAAACAACAGATAAACAACAGATCAGTCTTTGTTGTTGTTTGTGTTTATGGGTTGCTTTTATCTCAGGGGGCTGGCAAGATAGGAAAGAGTGTTCACGCATGGCTGCTGGGTGGTTTCCCTTGATTAAATCAGTTGAAAGTTAGCGCCAATCCGTGTTGTTTGTGTCTCTTCTTCGTCCGTGTTCTTTTTGCGCTTTTAAGTCCCGTAACTCATAAATAAAAGCAACAAACAGTCTTGAAAAATTTATTTAATATTTAGTTTATTTTTTGAAACAAGTCGTAGAGATAAAAGTAGGGCTTTCTCCCGACCAAATTGAATTTTGATCACGAAAAACATAGAACCACGAGGTCTAAGATTTTATCAGTCCAAGGTGGAAGCAGCACTCTGATATGGCAGTATAAAACGAGCGCTATTTCAGACTGCATGAACACGGAAAAGTATTGCCATAGGTTCTTAAAATAATACTATAAAGATGTCATTTCAATTGGCGGTTATAAGTATGAACATGGTGCGTTTTCATGCCAGAAAAACTCTTAGTTGAAGACGAAGACGTGTGTGCGTTCAACTTTACGCGGTTGCGTACAATAAAACCATTTTTATTTGTTACTTTATCTTGACTGGTTCAACTTATCCCAAAATTGAGGTCGTGAAACACAATTTATTGTGTACTAGATTTTGTTTCTGAGCTAAAAAAAAAAAAGATTTTGACAATATCCGAAAATATTTAACAGTTCTGGGTACTACTGGTTGCTGTAAAAACAAAAAGATTCAGATCTATTTTCCCGTCGCGACAATTCCTCTGGAATATCTTCTGTTGTAGTCTGCATGGGCAGAAGCCTTGAGACTGCCGCTTTGAAAAAGTGGTTATTCGCTCATAACCGTTTTCGGTGAAATTTTGTTTTTCCAGGTTTCGAATACTTCAAACATGTGTTACTTATGGGTTCTTCTCAAGACAGGATCGTTCCTGTTCATTCTTCTAACGTGCAGCATTGCACGGAATCTTTAGCCGACACTACGGTTACCGGTAAGCCGGAAAGTTCAAAGATTAACATCTTCAGGGTTTTGTAGTAAAATAAAAAAGGCGTACTCAAATTAAAAAATTAACTGGTCATGCCGGAAAAAAAAGTCAAACTGCAAAAACGCGGCCCTGCCACCCCCCCTCCCCCGCCCCACTTTCATTGTAGCATATTTTGCTATTTGTCAATACTTTCACCTGGATTATAGGAACTGGAAAGGTGTAGAGTCACTGAAAAATAGAAATATCAAGTATTTTTGGTCCTTACGCTACCAGTGTAATTAGCTGCGTCTCTTACATGTTTGGACGTGTACCTCTAGTCTTGTTTTGGGTCTGCTGCTTAAAACGGCAGTTAGTGGTCTGCAGCATTCATGGAACTAATTATTTTGTCAGATTAGCATCCTCACTTCAAGCTGTAGTAAACAGGTACTATCCTTTATTATGTTGAATAGAAATCATGTAATAAACTCGATGAGGGTGTGCATGCGCACCTTAGAAGTCGAAATTCCTCCTGTTTATATACTGGCTTTCTCTCTCCTCACTCTTCGCTCCATAAGGCAAGGTTTATGAAGAAATGATCGAGAATCTTCTGGGACCATTGCTCAAGAGAGAAGACGTGACGTTAAAGCGGTTCGACGTCTTTCATGATATTGGAAGTCTGAAATATCTGAGTCCGGTGATCCTCAGTCTGTCCCACGTCAGCACTCTGATGTCGAGGAACCTCTTCGAAAAGTTTATGCTCATTTCGGGAGCAGACTGCTTCAATTAAAACAAAAACAAATAGCCATTGATTGTATAATAAAAGTTGTAATAGTGATTGTATTTATATTCTTGAATGAAATACGAGATATATTGCAAAAAGAAAACTATTAAATGGTATTTCGCTCAAGCAAAATCACATTGTCCTTTGTCCTGGAAAGCTAGCGAAGCTTTCAGAGTGCTTAATAGGTACTGCGGTGAGAACATGTGGCTTCTTCTTGCTTCTTATCTCTCTCATGCGAAGGAGGGTGGAGCCTACGCTAACCTTCACAATGTAGCACGAAACATTGTGACACCGTGTATGGTTTCAGCTGCATCACATCTTAGTCTGGATTGAAGACAATGAATATGTTTCTATTTCTAACTTTTTGTATGGTTTCATTTTCGTCTTTGAAGTACCACTTCGACGCCTGTTTTAAAAACGTAGCTCAAATTTTTTTTTTTTTAATTCGCATTAGTGTTTTGGAGGCAGTCGCCAGTCAGCGCTTTGTGTTCCTTTTCTGCGTCTTTGATCTTGTGGGAGTTCGACGCAAGACAAGCCATAGTATTCACGAGGCGCTGTCATGTCAGCTTTGCAAGGTAAAACTATAAAAGAACCCTCAAGCAGCAGTCACACTACTAATGGCCGAGTATCCCCTCATTCTCTGGGTGTTCCCGTACTGTTGTCTGTTTCTCCGACTTCGAAGCTTCGTAATTTTTCCGCCCCACAGTCTCCAATGTTAAATTATGATTAATTATCAGCAGCTCGCCTACACGCTCCGTGTTTCTTAGAAAGCTTAAATAATGGAAACCGCCATGTAAACATGGGACAAAAAACCGCGTTGCATGGCTTTGCCGTTGCAACACGGTTCTTTTCCCCATATTTACAGGGCGGCGTCCAGTGAATTGGTGTCAAACAGGTGATATTCGGAGCCCTATGCTTGCCTGGTCAGTATACGAAGTCTGCCTGTGGCCGACACTTTAGCCACCGCACCGGGAGCTTTGTCTAGAGAGAGTCGTCATAGCGCGGCTTTAGGAAGCGAGCATATCAGGCGCCGTAGTCACGAACGCTGAGAATGGCACCGGGTTGAGGAAGCCGTAGAAGACCTGCTTCCAACTCGCGTTTGTTGCCTTCCGTCGTGATGAGAATGGGCCTGCGCATCGGAACTTTTTTGGTAGCGCCAATCGTACCGAAAGTCAGCTGTGACAGCGGGAAGACGAAGCAGACTACAGGCACGGAGCAGACGTAGCCTAAGCCAAACGTAGCCGACCAAGCGGCTAGCAGATGATGAGAGCAGCGTTGGTGCTCAAGGCAGTCTGGGATTGAGTTCCTTTCCCGGTGTCGCTGATCATGACGTCATGCCGGGCCCTGACGTATTTAAATGTCAATGAAAAAAAAATGGCGTTGTGTGTATGTTTATACAGCCTAAAGCTTGGTCTGTATGCCTCAACGGGTGACGAGTCTCCCAGCTGTACATGAGATATTTAGCCAGAACACTACAACCGCTAGCCTGGGGTCTTTGACGTGCCTCAAGCAGTAGTGATGCACGACCGCACTCCGGTAAGATGCTCATCCAGATCAAAACGGGCAGGGGTGGGGATGTAAAACTATGTGGAGCGCAAGTTCGCCTGCTGCTTTTGCAGGGGTTGAGGTGACGCCAGAAAGCCGAGCTCTGGTTGTTTCTTATTGAAGGATAGTAGCTAGACCTCAAAGCAAGCTGTCTTGAGGTCTACCAACTACTCTTCTATCAGAGCCAATCAGCGCTCGACGTTCTGGCGTCACCACAACCCCTGCAAAAATAGCAGGCGAACTTAACGCTCTGCATGGTGTTGTGAGTTTGTTTAGACAGCCGGAAGTTAGTTAGCCCAAATGACTATTTGATGTCTCCGCTATAGGTGATACATTTAGCCAGTGCAGTCTTTCTGCTAACCAAGTATATTTAAACGAAACAAAAATTGGGGTGTATGTATGTTTATACAGTCTAGAACTTAGTTTGCCTCAACGGATGACTTTTCTTCCAGCTGTAGATGAGGAATTTAGCCAGTGCGGTACAACCGCTAACCTGGGGTCTTTAACGTGCACCATGCAGTAGTGATGTACGACCGCACGCCGGTACGATGCTCATCCAGATCGAAACGGGCGAGGGTGGGGTATTGAATCCAGGATCTCCCTGGGCTCTGCAGCGCGAGCTTGCGCTCCACGTGCTCCGAGCTGGTGTGCGCTAAAGTCACTGGATCCTGGGAAAGTAGCGCCATTGCCTTCCCTACCTGCTAGCCGGACACAAACATATACTAACATACAGACGACCCAAACCTCGCAAGGCGATTGGCTAATTGGCTTACGTTGCCATGGAAATCGCCATCTTGGTCCATTGAAATCTTCGAAGCTTCCAGGGGGTCGTTTTAAACCAGTCGCGCCAAGATCACCATGGAGCATCATTGTACTGGAAGCGTTCCTCTTCAATATAAGAGTCTTTGGCACTTCGTATCCGATCACCTTATTAATCAGGCCCATCTCCATGGATCTCTTACAATTATATTGTTCTTCTTGCGCATTTCAAGACAGTAAACTTATTTTTCAGTGCCTCCAAGCACCGACACAGCATCTGGTGGTGGTACGAACGTGTACGCCTGTTTCGCCGGTGTGTGGTTAGCTGAATCTCGGTATAGACGCTTTACACACGCGCCAAATTACAGCCGCCATTGCTGACCTTCTCTTGTCTTACCGAGATGCCGAGCAACTGAAACGGTAGTTGACGATTCTCTACAAAGGCCGATGCTTTAGAAAAGGACACAGTTGAATCTAATATGGCAATAAACTTTCCTGCCATGGTAATAATGAAGTGAAATAAACAAAATAAGAGGAAACAAACACTGAAGGTCAGTTATGGCGGCGTCCATGCACAGCTGCTGCAAAGCGTCAATACAAAAACGACTCAATAAAGCTACCCGTCACCAGCGAATCTAGATAGGCTCACCAAGAACGGAGGGGTCAAGGAGAAATTGCTCATTTCATGGACCAAGATGGCGACCACACGCGGAGCTTGGCGTTACTTTCCCAGGATCCAGTGACTTTAGTGTGCGCTAGCCCACTCGGCCACTGTTCTTTTTTTCTTTATTGACTCGGCCACTGATCCCCCCCAATATTTAAACGACTGCACAGCTATGCGGAGCACATCCAGACCGAAACGGGCAGGCGGGGTGCTGATTGTGGTCGAACAACAAGATCTATGAGTTACGCAGAGCGAGCTGTCCCTCCACGTGCCCTAAACAACAATAATTTACAAAGTAAAAAAAAAAAAAAAAAAAAAAAAAAAAATCTGGATGATTAGAAAGCGAGTAAACACTACAAAAAGGAACAGGGAAAAAAAAAGACGAAGCTACTCGCTGATTTCAAGCGCTCGTGCTTTTTCACCTGACGGCTGTTCCATATTTTCCCGTTCGAGACGAGAACTTTCCAGACAAACGTGTCAGGCTTACGCTCGCGTACACCTCCTCAAAGACATCGCAGGCCTCCTTTGCGCGACTCTCCAGGGCATCGTTAGCTTCGAGGCCGTCGTTCATCAAGAGCTTTGCCATCAGCTGCGCATTCTCTTGGGACCCGAAGCTTCTACGAACGGTGAGGCCGTCTTTTCGCGTTTCTCGCGCGTCGGGACGATATTGTGTCCCCACGGAAATCGAGGAGAGCTGGTTTCAATATTAGAGCCAAAAAACCTTTACTGATATGAGCCCTCAGGTAGGGAATCCTTGATAAGCGGAGGGACGTCATAAGGATAAGAGGTGTTAGAGGAAAACAAATGGGTTATACTCACCCAGAGATTCTGCGGTCGGGACATTCGTCCAGACAAACCCTGATCTGGATGAATGCCCCGTCTGAGTGACGTCACATGACACAGTGACGTGACGTCACACGTGAACGCCTGATCTCCGCACGGGACGTTCTATGCTCTTCATAGATTCTCCCCTCTCCTCACCGGCCCGAGCAAAAAAAAAAAAAAAACTTTCCAGCTTAGCGGAAAAAAAATGTACGCTCTGTTCATCTGTTCCTGGCGCAACTCCTCTTTTGAGATTCAACTTCCGACTCAAATACACATTCTGGATTAATAATTTCAAAAAAAAAACTGTTTTTTTTGTTAAGTTAGAAATTTTGTGAAAACAGAATTTTGCAGTAATAAGTAATTACTGCAGCATTTATGTTGTAACCGTATCTTTTTTTAATAACCCCTCCCCTCTACCCTAAAGTTTGCACCGAAGATTGCAAATCAGTACATAACAGTTATCATTGAGTACGGTTGACGCAGAAGTACGGCTTCTGTTGCGTAAAATAATTGCAACGCAACGGATGCTTAGAGAACAATAAAACGCCAAAATGGCACTCTTGGCGGTTTTGGGCACCAGCTCATCCTATCGCAATTTCAATTACACTTTCATCTTATAACTTATGTCCAGTAGCGCCCTCACTGTGTTTACGCAAAGTACAATCCCACGAATCATTGCAAAGTTTGACCGTAACGTCGAGGTAGGTGAATAAGTTCGTGATCGTTACTGTTTCCTCACAGCCTGAGCAACATGTCCAGCGGATCGGGAGGCAGCGGCGGCTCGGGCGAAGCGCTCCAGTTGGGGCCTCCCGAAAAAGACTACTACGCCACAGAGAAGGCTTTTATTTTCGTCTGCATCTGCATCGCCGTAAGCTACCAGTCCTTTGCGGACTTTCCGTACCTGATCATCAAGCACGGTGGAGGTAAGCCGGCCTACCATATCTAAACTTGTTATCACCGAAAGAGAAAAGGAAGCTTTGCGCATTGTTCATACGCCACGCGAAGTAGTTCCAAGAAGATTTGGTTGTCGCAGGAAGAAGTGATGCTTTTGGCGCATGAAGCGTGTGCGTCTTAATAGGATAACATACCTATATATATAATCTAAAATGCATCAAAAATATGCAGATGAATGGGCCGTACTTCATGGAATGAAACGAAATCTACGAATCTGCCGAACGACAAAAACATTTTTTGGCCGAGCCAGGAAATCGCT